CACTGCTGCCTCTGCCCCCCCCCGCCGCCAATAAAGTGGTGCGTGTGCGTGTGTGCGCGCCTCTCCCGCGCTCTCACTACTCCGCGGTTGGGCGCCACGTGCCCCTCCCTCCACGCGAGGAAGCCTAGCCCTGTTCCCAGGCTTGCGGCAGCCCCCCTTCCTTTCCAGGACAAATGAGGGCGTCGGCGTCGGGGGGGGGGAGGCTGGCTGGCTGCCGCTGGGCTGCTGCGGTTTGGGAACAGGACCGGCTTTAATGTGGGAAAGGAGCAGCCTCTGTGCTGCTTCTGAGGCCGTTTTTCCAGGGAGGCGGGCGCGGCCCGAGCCAGCCGGGGCTTTAACCCTCTGTGTGCTGCAGCGCCCCTCCAGCTGGGGCCGCCGGGGCCGGGGCGGTTTGCAGCAGCCCCTTCTCAGCCAGGGTGGGCCTTGCCCCCTCCTTCCTGGAGGGGGACATGCACCGGGGTTCACTCTGGGGGCCCCGCGTCCCCTCCCTGGAAGAGGGCAGGCGGACTCGGGGCCCCTGTGCCCCAGCAGAGGCTTTCCTGCAGGAGCTGCGGGAGAAAGGGCTGCCCCGGGACCTCCGGGGAGGGAGCCGGCAGAACGGGGGCCCGATCCTCATCTGTTGGCTCCCCGAAGCCGGGGGGGGGGGACTGGGGGCTGGGCCAAGCTTCCCTCTTCCGGAAGTGTTTTGCAGATGGTGGGCCCCTTTAGCAAGTGATGTGCGACAGGCGGTTCGGTCCTCTGACATTTGTGAGCGTTCAGCCCGTGCTGTTTGGGGACTTCCAAATTCAACAGGCGCAACGCCCCGCCAGCAACGTCTTGCTGTCCAAGTTTGGCTTCTAAAATCTTCGGACTCGCTTACACTCTAGGCTCGGATGCTGGCTTTTCCCTTGTGCCCGGTGGTCCTTGGGTGGGGAGGGGCCGCTGCCTGGCGGGCCACGACGGAGCCCCCCTCGCCAGAGACTTGCACGGGGGCGAGTGTTGTTAAGGGGCAGGCAGAACCCCCGGCTTCCCGGAACGCGCCCGCCCCTTTCCCTGCCTGCCTGCCAGGCGGCTCCTCCGACGGCTTTGCCTCGCCCTTTGTACTGCCCCCCCTCCCGCCGTGCCACCAAGACAGCATCTGAAGCCCGGACCATACAATGCGGCCTTGTTACCCCTCTTTCTCCCCCCCCCCCCCGCTTTCCCCAATAAAAGAAGTCCTGGAGAGTTTGCTGGCCTTTAAGCAAAACCCGCCCGCTCTTGTTCTGGAACGAGTGGCCTGTAGGCAGCGGTGGGGAGAGCAGACACGGCGGAGGCTTTCGAGTGTCTCCGGGAAGGAGGCCCTGGAAACCGGGCGCCTGCAGCTGCTGGCCCGGGAGGTTCCCGGGAGGCGCTCCTGGGGTGGGGTGCCGATCAGGCCCTAAAAGAGCCCCGGGACCAGGACCCAAGGGGGCGATTCGCCCAAGAAGGCCGGGTGGTCTCTGGGCCAACCGCAAGAGAATACAAACAAAAAGTGCAAGAACTCCAAAACACCAGCGAGTGCATAAAGGGACCGCCACTCCAAGGCAGTGGTAGGAGAGGGAGAACAGACCAAAGGTAAAACATGTCTTGACCCAGCGTGTGGTTAGTCTGTGGAACTCCTTGCCACACAGGATGTGATGAGGGCATCTGTCCTAGATGCCTTTAAAGGGGGATTGGACAGATTTCCGAAGGAAACGTCCCTCGCAGGTTACAAGCCATAATGGGAATGTAAAATCTCCAGGCTCTTAAAAGGATGGGACCTCCAAATGCCAGAGGCAGGGGAAGGGGGCTCCCAGAGGCATCCAGCGGAACTGCGCTGCCCCCGTTGGCCTCC